AAGTATAGAAAAGCAAAAGAACATGACGAAACAAAAACTGGTCTTTTAGAGAGCCAACTTCTACTCTGCGGAGCAAACGAAAAAAAAACGATCATTTACGGACCAGAGGGTAAACTTTTAGTAAATACATAAACAAGCTTAATCTTACTTACCATAAAGCCAAAGTAGCGAAGATTGGAGATAAGCGAGTGAAAAGTTAACGTGTTTGATTTGGAAGCCTTAGACATGTTGGGTTGGAAAAATACATGGGGAGATTTGAAGTCATTGCCATCAATAAGTTTAAAATGATCCTGAGAGTTAGAGAGAACATTCTGGAAGTGGAATGTGACAACAGCAGTGGCAATCATCCATATGAAATACAATGAGAAGCTCGAAGAAGCAATAACAATACCAAGAGTGTGGGCAAACCAGATTAGCAAGCGATAAAACTGATGACTAAGATCACCAATAGGTAATGCGCAAATAAATATTGAAGTTAGAAAAATGAAAGTTATAGAACACTTGATAATTAAAGAAACCCAAACTGCAGTATTCACAACTTTATAAGCAAGCGGTTGAAACGTATAACCATTTTCAACTCTTGATCTAGAAGCAATATCAAGGTAAGAAGCCAAAGGAGAATGGATGACAACAGCTACCACACACTCATCTGATTTTTGAATGGATGTAAACGAGGTGGATATCAGGTTACAACTGAGTTTCTGAGGGACATAAACATCACCTGGAAAGTAAATGTGATTCTAGTTCAGAGGTCGAAAATTAAAAATGTAAATACCCTTACTTCATTTATTTGTTTGCAGAAAGCGAAGATTGTCTGACCTGGTTTAATAATAATAACATCACCTGGAACAAGTAAAACAGCAGGCAAGACCACAATTTTCCCATCTCGGATAGTAAGGTGAGTATCCAAACCAACCATCTCATTTAAAAGTCCATTTAGACATGGTGAGTATGAAAGCATATTCGGCTTCAAATTTCCTACAAACAATTAGAAACAACATACTTACTAAGACAAGTGACGGAAGATCTTAAGAATGTCTTAAACTTTGTACAAGACGAAATTATCCTTTTATAACGCGTTAAGAACGTTAAGAACAAAAGGCTACTTGACAAAAGGACAAAGAGCAAATCCCCAGCAATCGATATCCAGGAGTAGCTAGAAATATTAGACCAGTCAAACAAACTAGTTTATAGGACACAAAGTACCTGGAGGAATATCGGTATGAAGCAACAGAACATGATATAAGAATAAGTGACATTATGCTCAACATAAGAGATAATATATCCGAACGAGACCAACTCAGCAATACAATACCACTTATTGGTCTTTCACTTAACGTTTCCAACATTTCGCAAAATAGTTCCAAAGCCACTTGAGTTTCCAGACCCTGACTCATTGTAAAACTGTAAGCATAATCGCCTCGACAAACAAGGCATAACAATAATCTTCCCAAATCAACCTTGAGAGATTAAATCTTGCTCAGACACACAAACAGTTTAAAAACTGATTCCGTTCAATGATGGCGTGCTACAGTAAACAGGTACTCCAATGTTAAGAAAATTGAACTCCGAGGATTCCATAATTTTCAAAGTGGCAAATGAGTAATCGCTCACTGTTATACAATTCAAAGATTAATCACACGAGTTTTTCCATAGTTTTATAAAGGAAAAGCCACATGTAATACTTAATACACTTTGTCAGTATTCATTATATGTACATGACTCCTAAAATGAAACTGATATGTACCTGAATGTGGAATTCCCACGCAACCACCAATAATAATATATATTACTTGTTACCAAGTTCAATTAATGTATAAATTAATCCTATTTGTATCAATAAAAAATTCAGATGGACAATCGAAGACGTGAAAACAAACAGAGGCACTAACGTAGCTTCAGATCCCCAACTAGTTGTGTTCAAGATGTAACTGAAGCTAGAGAAACACTGAACAGCTGGGGAAACTGCAGTACAAAGGTTCTATACGGCACTCCTTCGAGATACTGACAAACCCAAACAATTCAAGATAACTTTCAGCAACATGTTCCAAGCGTACAATATCTACTGGAAGAAAAGGAGACTACCATGGAAGAAAAATGGAAAGGGATAAAAAAAATCACACACTTTGACGTATCAGGAGGTGTTCGGCCGGAATAAGCTTCATCATAATGAATAGATCTCTATGGAAACCCCGGACAAAATTCAATAAAGGAATGACAAGAAGACAGCGATTAGCAATAGCCGAACAACAACAGAGGAAGTTGACGCACAGGCTGGATACACAGAAGCAAACAAGCAAGTGAAGAAGAGTATTAGGGATGACAAGTAGAAATATGTGGTAGACCCAGCAAGGACAGTGGATAAAACTGCAAGAGAAGGAAATATCGGACAACTATATGGCACGACGAAGAAACTGGTAGGGAAACACAGTAAACCAGAGAGACAGGTCAATGACAAAGAAGGCAAGTCAATCACTGAAATTTCAAGAACTGGAGAACAGATGCGTAGAATACTTTGGGGAACTCTTGAATAGGTCAGCTCCATTGAATCCGCTAGACATCGAAGCAGCACCTACAGATCTTCCTATAGATGTCACTCCACCAACAATCGAAGAAATCAGGATGACCATCAGGCAAACCAAGTATGGAAAAGCATCAGGACCTGACAATTCACCAGCCGAAGCACTAAGGTCAGAAATAGAATTAACTGCAAACATACTCCACATTCTATCAAGGAAAATTTGGGGGGAAGATCAAGTGCTGACGGACTGGAAATAAGGATGTCTCATCCAGATACCAAAGAAAGGAGATCTGAACAAGTGTGAAAACTAAAAAGATACTACACTACTGTCGATACCGGCGCAAGCTTCCAACATAGTGTTGCTGAACTGGGTGAAAGATTCAGTGGACGTCGAGCTTCGAGGTCGACAGGTCGGAATCCGTAAGGATCGGTCGTGCACAGACCAGATCGCGACACTACAGATCATCGCTGAACAATCAATTGGATGGAATTCATCACTATACGTCAATATCATTGGCTATGGGGAGGCGTTTGACAGTGTGGATAGGAGTTTTCTTTGACACCATGGTGTGCATAGGAAAGTCATGAACATCATCCGGAATTCATATGACAGACTACACTATAAGGTGATGCATGGATAACAGCTGATAGATGCATTACAACTGCGAACCGGAGTCAGAAATGCTTGCTTAATCCCGTACTTTCTTTTTTCATGTAGTTGACTGGATTAGGAATACTTACACATCTGAAAGGAAGTACGACCATAATGGACAGCGCGGATTTAAGTAGACGACTTGGATATCGCAGATGACCTGGCCCCTCTATTATATACACATCAACAAATGTAAGTCAGGACAAGCAATGAAATAGAAGCATCTGCATCAATAGGCCCCAACATAAACCAGGCAAAAGCAAGATCCTCAAATTCAGCACCGAGAACGCCGACCCAGGACAGGGTTGGATGGAGATTGCTGGTGGGTGGCCTGTGCTCCCCCACGAGAGATAACAGGCGTAATGAGGCCAGTAAATCTCGAAAATCACAGCGAAATTGAAGCGAATTCATTAGGTGATTCCAAGGTGCTACAGATACTTTGGGGTTGAAAGTGTTGCTTCTCATAACACCTTTACTACTGAGTATAATTCAGCCAAACCAGAAGTCAGAAACCGAATTAATGATGTTTACCTTCCATAGCAGCTACACACCAATTTTTCAAGCACAGTCAAACATTTACTACATGAATTTACGGATAGCATATTGACCGGGTAGGTTTATTCAATAAATAAAGCAACAGAGAATAAATGACAGGATGTTCATTGAGATATACGAGCAATATAATAGTTATATTTGGAAATTTTTAGGTATATTTGTAAGATAGCAGATGCGTCGAGAAGTTTATAATCTAAACTGACTAGTTTTTGTGAGGGATGCGTAACCCGGTGTACCTAGTTTTGACCTATGTTTCTTATCTTATTTTTACCACCTATTTTTGTGTTTGGATCACCAAAGTAATCCGAAACTATTCCTACTATTCCACGGCTCCCTTATAGTCCAAAGATATAGTTAGATCTCGACACGTTAGACCTGATACACGTTCCTATTATGAATGTAGAAATACATAGGTTACGTTCATAAATAACTAGGACTCTAGAAATCAGCTGTCGATTACTGATCCCAGACAGACATACAGTATTCGATTAACAGTGATCAAAGGGCAGTAGGAAGTGTAATTTCCACAAAAAGAAGTAAGTAAGCACTTCACAATCTATTTTCCAATCATTTCTTTCCAAATATAGTCTATATTACTTGATTCTTTATGTTACCATTTTACGAGTGTGTTGTGAAAAGATCCCAGGTAAACCGATGTCAAAAGGGTGTGTTTAAGCATAAGTCCATGAGTGCTGAAAGAACAAAACCCAATGGTGATAAAAATCCCCAAATACAACAGTCAAGTTTTGAAAAGTTACCAGTGGATGTGAGCGACGATTCGAATTCTTTAACAAGCTATCATTCAGTTGTAAATATGTTCCATGATAACAAAGGTGCTGTACAAAGATTTATTGACATAAACACCAGTTTATTCATATGCTTTCTTCCCTTACTGGTATGATCCGGTTTGAAAGCGTCAGTGGTATCTGCGAGCCCTACTATTTTTAAAGGCAAGATAGTCTGCTTTTCATAGGTTGCAAACTCATAACGTATCCATCTCATAGATCTGTCAGAAACTTAGCTTTATCTTAGATCCTAAATTTATCCTACCATCGGAATTTATTCGGTAATTTTCAAGTCAAAACTAAAAACATGATATTAGGTCTAAAAATTTTGTCAAACATGTGGTGTTCAATGCTATTGAATTTAATGCCCAAGTTGAACAAAATAACTTTGGTATACAGTATATTTATAGAATAATAAATATATTGAACCTCTGAAATTCTCAATCTGGACCACATGTGTTTGTTCTTTTGTTTCCAAAAACGATCTGAATCCAAGGCGGTTAGTCGTAATGCCAGACAAACGTGGTTTGGCTGTGCAGAATGTAGAAGATCTGGTTAGTGGAATATCTCAATATTTGACGGAAATTTTTCTAGGACGTTTCAAAACTAACTGCCTTATCACCGGAGGTCATCAGTCGTCAGGCTACCATAAACATCGGTACTATAGGCCATGTCGCCCACGGGAAGACAACAGTTGTGCGTGCGATTTCCACAGTGCATACCATTAGGCACAAAAATGAGTTGATCAGGAACATCACAATAAAGCTGGGATATGCTAATGCTAAGATATACAAATGCAATAGTGAAGCATGCATACGCCCTGCTTGTTATCGTTCATTCGGAAGTGCAACAGATGATTCCCTTCCCTGTCCTAGACCAGGATGTGATGGAACACTAACATTGCTGAGGTAATTTGAATAATTATTTATGTCGTAGTAACTGCCAACGTTTTCCGATAAATACTGTTCATTCTTTTCAGAGCTTTTATTAAATCGCGCTGATTCTTGAGTTAATAACACTCATTTCGTCACTACTCTTAGTGAGTAAGAGCACAATGTGTTGTTGTCGAGTTATTCCAATCTCTCAGATGTCCCGAAAGTGCTTTGGTCATAGAGCTTTGTTCACTCACTGAGATACTTGTTATGAAACCACCAGCCTAACATTTTAAAAAGATAGGACCGAGTCAACACTTCTACTTAGCCTCTCTTCCATTCTGCAATGCCTTGTTCTGTATTGCTCTAATCGCTTTTACATATCCTAGAGATCACGTGATTTAAATTCCCCTTGGTAAGTACGCTGGAATGGTACCAATTACATTTACTACAATGTAGCAATCCCAAGTTCAGCCACGGGGCAGGTCCGTTGTTCCGTTATAACAGCAAGCAAACGAGTCATGCTTAGTGGTTATGTTACTTCTGAAATTAGTTTTTGACATAATAGTTTGCATTACATTGTTATATTGTTCAGGCTATCTATTAAAGTCTTTAATTCAGCTTTTTTAATGCGCAGTGGAATCCTGATCTTCATTTAAATTATCTCACTTCACGTAGGTCATCTTTGTCAGCAAATAGTTTATTACTCTTTTCACTGTCTTTTGGGCATTATTGACACTATCCGAAGTTTAGGTTTAACAATAGGGTTTTAGTTGATTTACGAACGAGTAGCCATGTTAATTTCCTCAATCACCTATTACATTTGCCATTTTTTGTTTTGTGCTCATATTCTGTACATAATCATCTTAATTTACTGTATTAAAATCTACTCATCTAGCTGGTGGTCTTTAATTTCTAGTCATTCGTTGGGCTAAGTCAATAGTACGACAGCTTAATTAGCCGTCACTAGACCACAGTATATATTATTAGGCTCATTCATCCATTTACATTCTATTAATTGATTTTAAGAGCTAAAAACCTGTTCGAAACAAATCGTGAAAACCTCCATAACGACTGTGTATGAGATTTTCTATTTTATAACTTCAATGTTTTTTTAACTAGGCATGTTTCGTTTGTGGATTGTCCAGGTCATGATATTTTAATGGCAACTATGTTAAACGGTGCTGCTGTTATGGACGCAGCATTATTGTTGATAGCCAGCAATGAGACATGTCCCCAGCCTCAAACAAGTGAGCACCTCGCTGCTGTAGAGATCATGCAGTTGAAATACATAATTATTCTTCAAAATAAGATTGACTTAATCAAGGAAAGTCAGGCACGCGAACAATATTCACAGGTAAGTCTTGACAAACCAGGTGAACTTTCCCCATCTGATTTTGTATTGTCTTGATTTTTGCAATAACTTATGTATGTCGGAGGACCCTTGTTTTGTAAGTTGGCTTATGCACTTTAGCGTGTGTCCACATTTCGACCTCGAAGTTAGATAATTGATATCTATAAAACCTGATTAGTGTAAATAATACCACTAAAAGGTCAGGTTGTTTAGTGTCGTCAACTTTATTAGCAGTTGACGTTTTACTCTTTTGCGCTGTGCTTTTGGGTTAACATGTATTTCAAAACGTGATATACCTCTTTCAGGCAGTGTTTGTCAAATAAATAAAAGTTCTGGGTAAAACTGAAACCAATTACTGTTGTGTGACTGGAAAGTTCTTAAAGAATTTCGGAAGTCATAGTTGTGTAAAAGTGTCGCGGATTCTTACTAGACGGTGTTTATGGTCCAAACCGTGCTGGTTATCTCGACTGAAAAAATGTACTTGTGTATTGATCACATTTATATTCCTTTTTTAGATTTTACGTTTTATCCAGGGTACTGTTGCTCAAGGAGCTCCAGTTGTACCTATCTCAGCACAATTGAAGTATAATATTGATGTTGTTTGTGATTACATTGTGAATCACATTCCGGTTCCAGTACGGGATTTTACATCAGCACCTCGTTTGATTGGTGAGTTGTTTGTTTTGTATATAACAAACAAGTTTAAGTATATATTGAATCAGAGGTTATGGTTAGCTATATGGTGTCTGATTTCTTTACTTGCAGTTATTCGATCATTCGATGTCAACAAACCTGGTTGCGAAGTGGATGATCTACAAGGTGGAGTAGCTGGAGGGAGCATTTTGCGAGGGGTTCTAAAGGTAGTTTATTGTGATATATGCTTTATTTGTCCTAATCATTTTCTGTTCTCTCTCTTTCATTTCTTGTTAGATAATGTATTTCAACAATTTTTCTTATTATCTTCGTGTAGTCCCTAATTTTTGTTCAATTGTCTTATGTAACATTTTCCAATAGGTTGGGCAAAAAATAGAAATTAGACCAGGTCTCGTTTCAAAAGATTCGGAGACTGGGGGCGTTACTTGTAGACCCATTATTTCATGTATTGTGTCACTTTTCGCGGAGCAGAATGACCTTGCTTATGCTGTTCCAGGAGGTTTAATTGGAGTTGGGACAAAAATCGATCCACAGTTGTGTCGCGCTGATCGTTTGGTTGGACATGTTTTAGGACAGGTTGGCACCTTGCCTGACATATATGTGGAGTTGGAAATATCATTCTTTCTTCTACGACGTTTGTTAGGTGTTCGCACAGAAGGGGACCAAAAAGGTGCTAAGGCAAGTAGTCTATTATTCTATTTCACTCATGATTTTCTTGTATCCAATAATGCGTCTAAAAGTTTTACAACGTGGAAACAATTTCTATCGCTGACTGACAACTAACGAACTGCTTAAAGCTAAGCATCATTAGGCCTTTTTTCTTTGTTTGGGAATCTTCACCAATATGGACTTAGTTCTGTGTCCCTTAATTTATATACAATAAAACCTTTTAAAACAATGCTACCATAAATTTACCACGCAACGTGGAAAAAATGGTAACTGTCATATAACTGGTCAATAAATGAATGAGATTGATGTTTAGTTCTTGAAAAGAAACCTAGGTAGATTTTGTTTAGTTAAGTAGATGCATAGTTTATGTAAAACTCAATAGAAAACTAACAGAATCATCAATTAATTCTATTACGAGTCATATCTGATGGCGTGTGAACCCATTCAGTTGGTCGGTCTCTGGGACTACTTAAATTGTAATAGACTAGCCTCTTTTAGTCGTATATAGTTATCTGTCACTCCACAGCTCTATTTCATAAGCTGACCACGTATTCGCTATCCACCTCGTTCTAGGATCGGGAAACAATACACAGCACAGATGCCGCTACGATGACAACCTTGCTAAGATAACGGTAGTCAAAAACAAAGGAAACTTTTAATGACCGGTGTATTATCGCAGAGTAAAACAATATCGATTTATTCGGAGTTTATAAGTCCTCATTTAGGTAACAGACCTTCCACGCCACACTACACTTCGAAGATCTGTCGACTTCGTTCAACCCCACTGTTGGATTAGAAGTGGAAAGAAATGGCTCTTTTTCTCACCTTATCTCAGTGAGTTTTCTACTAAAATTTTGAGATGTGAATAAACCTATGGTCTTCAACACGCATTCCTAGAGGATAGCCCTGTTCAGTAGGTCGATGACGATCGTGGTATGAAAATTATCTTTGTAGATTGCCAAGTCAAATTTCAACATCCTCGATTTACTGTAACACTCCCAACTAATAATGCCAGTGTGCATCGCTATTCACACTCAACAATGTTTTATTTGGTGGTCTGTTTTGTAAAAGTGGATTACCACTTAATTGTGGTTGACTCTGAGCGAATAAATATTGGACCACACGTTTGTCGCTACTGCCTTATAAAAGGTTTCTCATCATAGTTTAGTATCTATAATTATTTCCTTTAGACTTATCTTTCCTCCTTTCTTTTGTAAACTAATAAGTTTCAATTCGCCTTTAAATAACTGTCAGAATGCGTTCGGTACTACCACATTTTAATTCTCTCAGCAAACTTTTAACTTCTTTATCGTCCTGAAACGTAATAATACAAAGACCTGTTTACATTTGATATTAATTTGTTCCGAATTTTAACACCAGTAATAGGTTTATGAGCTTTTGGTTGGTAACATAAAACTTTAAATGCTGCTAAAACGAATATTTTATTGTTTCTTATTTTATTGTCTCCCACAGGTTCAAAAGCTTTCTAAAAATGAAGTTTTGATGGTGAATATCGGGTCTCTTTCTAGTGGTGGATGTGTTATAGCTGTTAAAGGTGATCTAGCCAAAATACGACTAAATAGCCCTGTCTGTACTCAAGTTGATGAAAAAATCGCATTAAGCAGGCGTGTTGAAAGACATTGGCGGTAAGTAGTTCGATTTTTTATTCCAGTTAGTTTTAAATAGTTTTACTGACATACGTATCACCGTACCCATCGATTTCTTTTTCTCTGTAGATTGATAGGATGGGGAGAAATTCGACGTGGTGTCACAATCCAGCCCGTCCAGTGAATATCGACAAACTTCGTTTTGCATATGAAGATGAAGACCTATACCTGTGTACGCTGATTATTATCCTTTGTTGCCTTGTGTAACTTAGGTCATTGTGAAAACAAATATTTCGTAACTTGGACTTAATTGTTATTTTTTCCTAGAAATCACGATTACCTATGTGCGACTATTTGTTAGTGGATTATAAATATCTTTTTGTTATATCAAATAAGAAATTTGCCGCAGACAGCTAACATTGCCTTAATATCGTTGTTTGGTTATGTTTAAGCGTTATTCATGTGTTTATAAAGGTTTCTGTGGTTGCGTTTACGCTTACCTACCTATCTTAGTGCTTCGTTGGGTCAAATTAAATTTCAGACCACTAGTCAATTTACTTTAATACATGCTAGAGCCTTCCAAGATGAATTTTACCGGGGTCAAGATGTATGTAAGAGCTCTTCGTGAGCACTCAATTGGTTTTCAGTGTTTAAGCAACTGTGATTTTTAAGTACCATATAAAGACGTTCCGAGACCTGCTAAACTGTATCAGACAGTTGGGGCCGGTTATTTACGAAAACAAGCGGTCTGTACTCGAAAGTGGTTTTTGAAGTTTATCATTTTTTTCTCAAACATACACCTGTGTCCTACTAAGAGTATATCTAGGACCAGTGGAATAGTAATTAAGAGAAGAACAGTGATCGTATCAATATGTGAATTCAATTCCCTCCAATACTGATAAAATATTCATTTGAAAGTGGTATGTATACTTTACTTAATAATACCAGAAGACGTCATCAATGAAGAGAAAGATAATCATGAAGAAATTACAAGTGTTGTTTATCTGGTTAAATATTTGTATCCTGAATAGTATGGATATTCTAGATTTTCAAAGGCATGGATGCAGGTTGCTAGGAAATTGATATTAAGATGTATTCAGTAACATTGTAAGACAAAAATGAGTGATTATAAGAGTATGAATGATGAGTGACATGTAATTATGAACACAAAGTTATTGATTATGCAAATGAACATTGTAAACTGAGATCGCTAGGGTGGTACAAGACCGACTACAGTGTGATTTCGGGTAATACCGCCTTAAACATTCGATGGCGATACTTTTGGTAAAGTGTAAGTTTGTGGCCATTTGATGATGTTAATGGTCCAGAATGACTTTAATTTCTTAACGTCGTCTCCACAATAAACTAACGATGGTGGTTTCTTAGTTTCAGTCCCTGAGGAACTCGGTCTTCAACGTAACAATAACTCCTTTTTCTACCTCAGGTGTGTACATATAGACTGACAAATACTAATAGAAATGTCAATGTATGGTTCCGTACAAAATACCGATTTGTTAGCAAAATGAGCGTTTGTCGTCAGTTAAATACAGATGCCTTACCTAACTATGAAGCAATTGAGTACGATAGTGATCCAATGTTCTCTGTTCCCGATATATTTGTCCTCATATTAATGGACACCATGTGTACTAACCTGGTTAGCGTTTTTTTAGCGAGTTAGATTTCGACAGGATGGAGTCGCTAACCCCATGCCCAACCCTCCTCCTTTACCCGGGCCTGAGACAGGCAATAACTCTAGAAGAGCTACAGGCGGATTCTCAACATCCATTGGCCGGATACCATCAGTAGCAGCCTGTTGAATAGAACAAACCAGCTGAAGAGGAAATTAGGGAAACACGATGGAAATGGATAGGATATACACTGCGCAAACCATCGAACTGCATCACGAGGCAAGCCCTAACTTGGAATCCTGAGGGGAAGAGGAAAGCCAAAGAACACATTACTTCGGGAAATAGAAGCAGATATGAAAAGGATGAATAACAACTGGAAAGGATTGCCTAGAACAGAGTTGGATGGAGAATACTGGTGAACGGCCTATGCCCCTTCACGAGAAGTAACAGGCATGAGTGTGTACTAGTCTGTTTAGAATAGATGATAAATACGTTTCTAAAGCAAACATCCTTTGGGCATGCTTGAGACCAAAGTTCAGAATTTACCATGGGATTTTCGATTCGTCTTTAAATGTAGGACTGTAATTCGACTGCTTGAAGTTGTAAATTCATCCATGGTTCTCAGGGAATTCTCATTTGATTGGAAATTTTCGTCATGAACTAACTTCAAATCCTATCGTGAACCACAGTACAACAGGAATGTGGTTTGTTTAAATTAGGAGGTCCTCATTAGTTAATGTGACTCCGGTATGGATCGAACTTAAGACCTTTGTTCCTGTCGTCTACTTTTTTTTATTATTCACCCACTGAAGTCTTTGTGACAAAAAATTGGGATATAGTCTCGGTCAAATGGAACAAGTTATTTAAATGGTGATTAGACTATTACAACTAGGTTCATAAAACAACATTTCATGTAACGTAGTGACAATACTTCTTTTACTAATGTCTGTAGAATGATGTTTCCCAATCAAACGTTTGTCCTATTGTATTCACCTTTATTTTGTATTTCAGCCTCCTCTTCAGATATGCACATGTGGTTATCATGAAAAGTAAGACAAGATGTACAAATGTGGACCAGTGTTGCAAGCATTGAGATATTTTAAACATGGGTTTGTATTCTATCGTATATGCGATCCAAATATAAGTAATGTCGACAAGTCGGATTATGTCTTATTGAAATGTTGCTTGTCTAATTTCTATTTTCCGACTGAAATGAAGTGATGCGATCGCAATAATGAAAAGATCAAATTTTCATCATGGTATAAAAACAAATAATTAAGGCGAAAGTTTCATACACTGATCAAAACTTTGGGCACAGCATATAAGGTTCTGGTTCAAGTGTCAATGGTCTTACTGTTCGGTTTTGCTTCATACTACTTACTTGTTTGTGAGTAGTGTAGGTTCAGACTAGGATTTAAATGATGGTAAAGTCGAGTAAAGGAATCAACCAATTAATAACCTTCAACACAGTATTCAATGGGATAACTACGGTGGAGACTACGAAACTATATCAACCATATTTTTGAAATATATATGCTTTATCTCTCTAAAAGTTATATAACTTCAAAATCTTGGTGAATATACGGAATACCTTCATGTGGATTGATATTCACCAGCATCGACTTCTTTTTAACCGGAAATTTTCTCTAGAAACCCTCTCATGATTTATTGACTTGAGAAAATAGTTGTTGCGAAGTTTTGTCGCTATCTATTCTACGTGAGCACGGGTGTATTATCTTAAAGTACTGAAAGATAGGTTTGAAGAATAAAATGGTTTTTATTTATTTTCTAGCTACACATGCATTTGTATTGTTTATGAGCACTTTGAGAAGTTTCAATTGTCTATATACATGATACCAGAAATTTGCCATCATAGGTTTTCAATTAAGACTCATGTTGTCTGTCCTATCAATATACTTAAGATATGAAGTTTATACTTCATAACTACAACACTGGTATCGATTTAATGCAAATACGTATAATGCATATGTATATAATTTCCCAGAGCTTCGTAAAAGTCTAGGTGTATTCGAAGTTTTTGAGGTATTTCCCGATTGTTACCCACAGATTTTAAAGTTAATAATTGTTAAAAAAGTAGATAATATCAGGTTGCCTGTCGAAAATAGCTATTCCATACACAGTGCTAAGTCAAGCTTTTATTTAATCTTCAACACGTTTGGGTACACCTGGGTATGGAAATAAATATGCGCCAAATAAATAAGAAAATGGAGTTTCTAAGAGAGAAGGAGGGAAGCTATAACAATAAACACAGATAAGTGGACGAGATTAATATATTGTGAGAGAAATAGTTCGGTTACAATGCAACAAAAAATGATTCCTTCATTTACGGGTGGTTCTACAATTTTGATAATGAATTTAAAAGGATCCTATGTGGGGGTCACCACTGGTTTTATGCTCTTAGCCATACGTGATACCGTCTCAAGTCACTGATTTGCGCTGTTTCTCGAACAGCATTCTCGGGGTTTTGACAGACCGATTGATGTAATTTTAATGGGATTTCTTTTAGTTCACGGCACCATTTCATAAACTGACGGCCTCGATGCTTTTTCCAACTAGTCCCAGCTTTGGCACATACATTACGATCTGAAAGTCGCCGGTATGACATTCGTAAACATGTCCAAGCCACCGATTAGTGTTTAAGGATTCTGACACCAATTGAATATTGTAAAACATCGTGTTGCCGCTGAATGTCAGCAATCCTTCGAAGACAACGATGCTTGAACACAGAGTCATATAAAATCCTCAGCTTGGAGAGGCCGGGTTTCACAAGCATAAAGCAAATCTGACCTCAATGACGCTTTATAAACCCGACGTTTAAGAACCAGGCTAACGTTGCGACGATTCAAAATATAGCCCAGCTTGGTATAGGTCTGTGGCTTTCATTACACGTAAATAGATCTCATAAGTCACACCACCCTCCAAGCACTACGCTTCCGCAATACATAGATTGACCACTGATACATACATGGCTACCCAGATACACAAACCTCTCGACAATTTCTAATGTCACTATCAAGAGCGAGTTCAGGCACAGATCCCTGTTAGTCTTGAGAAAGTACTTTGCGCTTAGAATTTAGAAAGCACATGCCATACCTACGGACACCGATTAAGTGAGGATCGCATGACTTGATTATCCTCGCACAGTAAAACAATATCATCCATATACTCAAGGTCGAAAAGTCTTCCTTAAGGTTAAAGTCCCTCACAACTATTAACTACTTCCGTAAGCTGTTACTAGGATGTTATTGATGGCAAAGATGAGAAACGGTGAGACTGGGTAACTTTACTTGACCCTGCGGCCTGAATGAAACAATGGATAGATGTTGTATCCCTTCATTCTGCGTTAGTCGCTTACGTAGAGAGCATTCAATACGTTAACAAACTTGTCAGACACACCTTTCTTCAACAGATGATCCTAGAGAACAGTGCTGTCCAACGAAACTAAGACTGGCCTGATATCAAGAAACAACGATTATTGACCTGCAATGAGTATGGAGTTGTTCTGACATTTGGTGGAGGATAAAGATTTGATCAATACATTTTCGGTCATAACGAAAACCACCCTGGTCCTCTAGGGTCAATGTTTCCAGAGTTTTGAACAGTTAGTCCCCTAGCAAGAAGGATGCAACATCCATAAAAACTGCAGGAGCCAAGTTATCGGGAACTGAATTCCACAATGGGCCAGCAGGACTTTTCGCCGAAGACGTTACCCGGGCTTGGTGATTTATGGCACTTTGGGAGTTTCAGTTCTTTGTGGACTTCCTCCTCCGTAGACGGACGGGTCGTCCTTGGCCGTGAATGATAGGACAGTCTGATCAGTTTCTTTAGGGCGGCTGAACTGTTCTCCGAAGAATTCTGTCCATCATCCAAGTCGGTGGATGTCAGTGATTGGTATCTCAAGAGATTCACAGATGCGTTCGCTCACATCAGACCTATTTCTGCCAGTGACTCGAATGCGTTGAAAGAGCTTCCGGCGGTTACCAGATCCAGCTACTACCTTTCAACGTGCCCTAACAAACAGGCTTCTCGCTCCTTACGAGGACTTTGCACAATTTTTATACGCAAGAATATACGTTTACCATCAGTCTCGTGGTCGTTCCGAGTAGATTGACGTGCCCCAACGAGTTGTAAGGAGTCTATAAAGACCCGATTCTTATTAGCACGGGCGTTCGGCGAAGTGGCGAGCGGTTTTGCTCGCCATTTTTATGAAGCCATGCAAATTCACTCAGTGCTCATCGAGACTTTTCAGTCCGTTGATAGCTAACTTTTGACCTAGATCGGCTTGATTCTTGGTTGTAACAAAAGCTATGGTCGATTCGCTTACATCGAGTCTTTTAGAACGATCAATCTGTTGGTCACTGAAAGGTTAGGTAGGATTAGAGCAACGGGAGACACAATCAGAGTCCAGACAACTACCACAAAAGGATAGCCACTCTTGAACCCTACCATATCAGTGGTAGGTGATTGCAATGTGATAAATATGAGTCCAGGCTTGGGTTGCAGAAGTAGAACACTGTAACTGTCATAAAAGAACGAACATTAGGAAAATTGAAATTTTCAGTGCTATTTTACGAATTATTATTATTCATATCTTTATTCTATAGTTAGTGGATAACTATACTGTTACACTTCTATATTTTCCTTACTGTAGGCTTCCATTCGTCCTATTAACTGTTGTTATACATTTTACGGTTTCTAAATTATTGGCAGTTGGTCTTGTGCTGTTTACTCCGCCCTCTAACACTTATAGTATGGTTGTACTTGAAATGTTTTACTTGGTGTGCTGTGTGTTTAAGCATTTTCAGAATATTATTGTATGAGTTTTTAGTCACGATGGCATTGGGTACTATCGATAACTAACCTGTGTCCTATCGTCGTCTTCTGACTAGCCATTGAGCTAGAATGGGACTCGAGGACTAATAAACGTTAAGGCTGTAGTAGTCGTTCATTAGTTAGTGTACAAATTCGTCAAACTGGTCACAGATCCGATGAGCAATACAGTAACTGATATCGATCAAGTATTCTAGAGCCCAAAATCCACCATATCTTTTTTCTCAGGACAAAACACTCAATGAATGTGTCTGAAGTTAGCTCTGAACAGAAACAGGTTGTTTTTTGGTGGTAGAACTCATCCTTGGTTGGGTCCGGGCTGCAGTCTGTCGGAGAGTAGTAGTTCGACACTAGCACTCGGAAAACCGGATGAAAATGACAGGGTCCCCGGAAGATCACACGTAAAATAAGTCTTTCTAATCGACAGATGGAGTGCAAACATGTGGTACTTTACTAGTCATGAATATTGGTCTCAGATAGACAACAGACGTCGACGTTAAGACTCTAAAGACAGTCATAGGACATAGATAGGACAGAAGTTTCACCATAGGCGAGCTGTTATATGAGTTGATAAATGAAGGAGTACACAAAAGGGAATAAACAAGTGACGCAATATAAAATAAAAACGAGTGTTATCGAATCGTTATGAGTATAATTGATGAGAATGAGAATCGCAGCAAGCATAATTTTCCTGGGTTGTCTGGGTGCCTAAACCGAAGCAGTTAGCTTCGTTAGGCGACCACTCCACAGCCTTCGACCTAGGGGTCCAATCCACAAGACAGTGGAGTGACTTTAGGGGACAAGGTCCTATGACGGTCCCCCCCAGGTGGACCTTCCGTACCATGTCGGTGGTAGTGTAGTGAACAGAATATGAGTGGGGACAATCGAATGTCTTGAGCACTACATTACAGGACTTGTTAATAAAATCTAACAATCATACAGTAAATGCTTAATTTGCAAAATGTCCATCAATTGTCTCAAAATGACTCAGATTTCATTATTCTTTCATTTTATACAAATTGTATTCTGTTTCCATTCTTTACTTTCTATCCTCTTGTCCCTCTGCTGCCAGACATTCTGTTCACGATTAACATCATCTACTACTTACGTCGATATAAGTAGCAAACACCACAGTAGCATTCACTTTTCCACCACTGAGTGACTCAAGATCGGTTAGATAGTACAAGATTTCCATCATGGGCGAGCTGTTGTGTGAGTTGGAAAATAAAAGTAAATGGAGGATTGTAACAAATAAAATAGAAAGTTGAAGCTATGTAAAATATTTACACCAGTAATATAGTCACTGTAA